GTTAGTTAGAATTATCATTATTATAAGAGTACCTTGGAAAAAATAGACGAATATAAAAAACAAAGTGGATTGAGGTTTTATATTTAAGACTAAAATAAAATCAAATCAGATAATATATTACGGACTAGAGATATTATTTATTACAAATAACTAACTTAACAAACTCATTTAATCTATTTAAATCAGTCAATTATCTTTTATATTACGGACCGAAGTAATATAAGAGTTAGTTTAATATTTAATTTAATCGTAAATATAAAATCCTAATTTATTTTGTCTTTTAAATTTATCTTTTTTAAAAAATAATTATTATAATAGTTGCATATATTAAAAATTTTATTAAATAATAATTCTAATTAATATACACAATTAAATAAAATTCCCCCCCCCCCCCTCTGTGGCGTAACGATCAGGCGTAAACAGAGAAAGTCCAAAAAGTAGACCTTTTCGCGTCAACACATGATAGGATGCTGCTTTAAAGGACCAATACTTACTAAAAGGTCTACTTTGTTGGGATAATTTTGGGAATTTGTTTTTTAATATTCAATGTATTATATTCGGTTTTTAATGGGGGGTTCAGTTCTCAGGTCCTATAACCATGATATGATATTTGAATTTACATCAAATAATCTGCTTTCTGGGCGAAGTTATCCGAATTTGAAATACTCTTTTTATTCTATTTATAAATTATTTTCAGTATGTTTAGATCAGTATGTTTTAGATAGATTAAGAAATCTTAATTTTATTAACTCTTATTTAAAATTCAATAATTTTAATTTTAATTTTATTTAATATACATTATACCTCATCTAAATAAAATCAACACAATAATAAATGAAGAGTAAAGTTATATATTCATACAAATTTTTTTTTAACCTTATAAATAGAACTAAAAAAATATTTTTTTCTGTCTTATAAATAAGATAAAAGAACCAATAAATAATGAAAATGCATATGGTCTCACCTTTTCCCACAATTTTGGTTCTTTAAAGAATCTTCGGATGTTTGTGCATGTGGCCACTCGGCGGGTTCATGCTGCTGCGCCGCTATTAGCGGATGAAAAAGTGTGCCCCGATATTCATTTATTCGTTCAGAAAGGGACCATATTTATTAGTATTCCTATGGATAAGAAGGATAAGATATTTTTTACTTCTATTTGTAAGGTAGTAATAGAAATTTTTTGTATAAACATACAATTTTACTCTTAATTTATTATGACGTTGATTTTGTTTATATTAGGTATAATATATATTAAATAGAAATAAAGTTAAAAGCTTATTGAATTTTAAATTGAGTTAACGAAATTTAGGTTTTCTTTGATCTATGAAAAACATGTTGAAACTGACTTATAAATAAAAAGAGAAGAGTATTTTGTACTGTTTTACTGTTATTTACTAATTTTCTTTAAAAAAAAGTACATACTAAGGAGGGATAAATTAAAAAGTTATTAAATTTTAATGAAGTTAATAAGATTTAAAATTTTTCTTGATTATGATCAAATACGTTGGAATTGATTAATAAATAAAATCAGAAGAATTCAATATGATATTTCTCAAAGCGGATTATAGTCTTAACTTTTTCTTCCCAAGTCCCGCTTGACTTCTCAATTTTTGGTTTTTGATGCGAGGAGCAAATAATATTTTTAATATGTAAAAATTGATAACGAATCTCTCCAAAAATTGACGATTTATGCAAAACAATTATTTTATTGTTGACTAATCCATATTTTACCAATGAAATGTAATATGATGATGAATCGAGTTAAGTTTATGAAAGTGATTCAGATGTTCAAGACGCTTATTTGCACAGGGGAAAAAAAAAGGGCACTATCAGTGACGTGCTACTTAACACGAGCAAGACATATGCACAAATTAAAAAGTTTATAGAATATATTGTCAAATAAATTCAGAAATTATCTGCACATGATTCAAAATTTATAGGGGCATTGTGTTTTGTTCCATCTAGCTTTGTTCTTTGAAATTAAATAATTTATCTTATTTTATTTTTGCTCCAGTTACAGTTTTTTTCCTCAATCTTATAATGATAAAATTAATATTCTCATTTTTAAGAATTGATCAGTCCTTGCCTATTTTCTATTCTAATATACTAACTCTAAGAAACAAGGGAAACGAATTAGTTAATTTTAAATTCATCAAGTTTTTACTAGAAATGAAGATTATGGTAAATAAATATAATTATATCATTGACACGTTAATTCAAAATAAGACCTAATTGATTGATTAGACGGTGATGGATATTAAAAAGATATAAAAAGGTCAATTACGAAAGTAATTAATTAGCAACAAAATGTAAATCGGGAGATGAAAGTGAAAGTCATTTGTGTATGTACAATAAATTTCTTATCTTTTTTTTTTTCCTCTCATTTTCCGGGCAAATAAATGATAAACGTTGAGTACGAGGAACGAAAAAAACGAGGATAAGATTAGTGAATTAAACTTACTCGTGTTCATTGATTTTGAAACTTTTTACTGTAAATAAATCACTGCCCATAATATCCGTAATAAGAAAGAAATGAAGAAGAAATAGTGAATGAGTATTTTTTTTTTAAAAAAAAGTACTATCTGTAGTCTTTAATATAAGAGTTAGTTTGATTTTCAATTTTGTTTCTAAAATAAGATCCCGATTCACGTTGTCTCTCATATTTATCTATTTTTTTAACGTAGTTCGTATAGTAGCCGTACATGTTAAAGGTTCCATCAAATAACAGTTCTAGCTAAACACATGATTAACAATAATATTTAGAACAGATAACATCTATTTATTATAAATAACTAGCTTAACAAACTTTTTAAATCTATTTAAATTAGTTAATTAACTCTTATATTAAGAATAGAAGTAGTATCAGACATTCATATTTGTTTATATAATTTTTCCGCCAAATATTTTGTTTACGTCACTGTAAAACAATCAAAGTCTCCTCTATTGGGTCTGGGTGGTGCCAAAGCATAGGGCATTAGAGTAATCCTGAAAGTGGGAAGGCTGCCGATTGGAGCCTGATATCTGCAAATAAAAAGACAAATAAGAGACGCTTTAATTTCAGGCCTAACTTTTCGTGACCTGTTCTCAAGATATTTACATTTGAGGCATCGAGTCAAGTAGCGTGTAAGTGGACTGGTGGGAAGTTAGAGAAACTCTCAGCTGACCAAAAAAAAAAAAAAGGTTAGAAAATCTCATCAAATCAGCTCAAAATATGTAGGGAAAAGAACATTTCAAGAGGCGTGGTATAGTGCAAAGATCTTGTCAGTGGGAGTGAGATTTTTTCTGGTTTAAGATAGCACTTGAAATATCCGTCAAAGTGAAGTTCAGTTCCTACTCTGTGATAAAAGTGAATCTCAAGGTGTATGTATGTTATAAAAGTATGATTATGTATGCGATCAAATCCTTCCTTTGATATTCAGTTTTTCTTTTACGTATCTAATTGCGATGAATCTGGATTTTTCCTTCCTTCTTTTTTGGACTTCTTACTTTATTTTCTTTCGTGGCTTTCGACCTGTTTGAAAGGGTTGCCTCATTGCTTATTAACTTCCCACCACCCAGTCACGTTACGCACTTAAATGGGTATCTTTCGAGTAGTCCCAGCCATGTCTGTTCCTCTTAATTTTATCATCTGAAGTGCCGGTAGGATTTTGTTCGATTTCCCCTAAAGCCATAAGAGGATACGCGTTCGTGGGACATAATACTTTCCTTGTTTAATATTATTTTCCATCCTGAATATAAAAATTAGTTTGGCTTTTATTTTATATCTTAATATAAGACTTCAATCTACTCTATTTTTCATATTTGTCTATTTTTATCAAGGTACTTTTTGTAATATTTACACATGTCAAAATTTCATTACCTGATGGTTTTACTAATACACATGATAAGCAAAGGTATTCTAGTAAAGACAAACTTAACTAATTTCTTTAATTTCTCCAAAAACCGGAGGTAGCACATGAATTATATTTTCTCTCCGGTGAGAGTTGATCACATATTAAGACATGAAGGGAATATATTGAAGGATACTCTGTTGCAGCGAGCGAAGCAAGCTCGCATGCCTTGGTTCTTAAATAAACCAAATGATAACACATAAAAGTGTCTTAAAATACAGCCTGCCAGTACTTTGGACGATTGAAACTTCATATACTAAAGCTGAAATTGAAAGTATATTTTCACTAGTCAATGGCAATGAACTGATATCTAATTTTACGATAATGAGCCTACATATATTATATATCTATCAAATTAATGGAATACGAATGCACCTTTCTCATGCAAGGCAAGCCTCAACCGCTTGAGCCTAGAAGTAAAAAAAAAAAAAAAAAAGGGGTGGTGTTGAATCTAAAGAAAATCTCGACAAAATTTGGAGGGACTCGCCTCCCTATACTTGATGATTGTCAGAGCCCAGCAACTTCTCCTCTCTCTCTTGGGATTTCCGTAAGCTGAACACTGGACCGAGTCATCTTATTCCACTCTTTTTCTACACGAAAAACACCCATTGGAAACGCCGGCACATTTCCAGAGCAGTAACTGTAAACACTGTCAGGTAGTTATGGCGAAGATGGGCAGACAGTTTATATGTCCAGGAGCAGCGCAGGAGGAAGTTGCTTCCAATTACCCAAAGTATATCTGCAAGTTAAAAACAACAAGACTTGTGAGAAGGAGGGATCTCTCCCAAGCAGTACCATACTCCAAGCAATGCCAAACCCTACAAAACTTGAGCCCAGGCCTAATTAACACAGGGTTAGGTATAAGGATTAAGGAATTCGGATTCCCTTCATTTAAGATGAAAAAATGGCTCTTTTTTACCCAATTCCTTGTCTTACCATCTAGCCAATGTACATGGGCTAAATTTCTTCTTTCATTGAAAATAAAAGTTATTCTTAATAGATATGAGCGCCCATATCAAGAGAACAGTCAAAATTTACTCAAAATGATAATGCTTTTCCCACCTAAAGTTGAGAAGGTCCTTAGGCGGTTTCAAGCCAAGTTGGGCCAAATACAGTCATGACCTTCTAATCCGTTGAAACTAAATGGATCTCATTCTTACCCATTTTCTCCCATAAAACAGGTTGGAAATCAGAGTTGGTTTGTTGAACCTGAATATGCGAGAAAAGTTACTGTAAAACAAGGAAAATGCATCTCAATATAGCTTGTGAAGCAGAGTGAATTTAACATGAAATGAAATGTGACATATTCAGGTGCAATTTTCAAGTGATTGCTATCTAGTCCAATGGAATCATGGCACATGGCGAAACTTTGTGCAGTGAATCAATAGGACACAGCTAAACTGTAACACATCTATTGCTATCTAGTCCGGAATCATGGCACATGGCAAAACTTTGTTCAGTGAATCAACAGGGCACAGCTAAACCGTAAAACATGAATGTATCTTACATCTCAAACGGAGAGAGCTTAATATCAAGCATTGAAAGAATTCCATTTAAGTCTTATCCCCTATTTTCAAACCAACTTCCGGCATATAGCATGGATCAACCACCCTTCCCTTCTTCAATGTAGGTTATAACACGAGTTATCTTAAAAGTCAAGAAAACTGAATTTCTTTACATCATAAGTTCATAAAAAATAATAGTAGTTGTAGTATTTATAAATCTTCGAAAATTGCAAGGTCTGCTGCTCCTAGTCTGAAAGAAGAGATTACATGTGAGGTACCTTAAATCCCAATCTCGAGTAATATCCCAGTAGAATGAATAGAGAGAATTAACAACACTCGAGAGAAGCCAAAGTGGCCGATAAAGAGATGTCCACTTCTCAGGGAATACATGATATTTAAGGGCTGAAAGAAAAATCACTGGGAAAGCTGTTGAATATTTCAATGCTGAAAAACAGATATAATGGGAGTTAGAGGAAGAGTATGATGGGAATACCAAAGTTACAACCGTTAATCTAAATGGAAACTGAAAGATTCAAAATCAAACTATGTGCTATGCAAATACGCAATAAAAGATTCTAGCAGAAAAAGATAAAATGTGCAAATAATGGTAAAATTCTATACAAAACAGTAGAGAATCTTATAAACTAGGAAAATACCTCACTCAATGAATATAAAATAAAGTTCCTCGTCTGGAAAACTTGGCAAGATAATATTCATAAAAAACCAGCATTAAATACAGATGCGAATACAAAATACATATGGAGCCAAAAGGATTTTTTGTTTGGGGGCCGGGGGGAATTCCATTAAAACTTAGCTTTTGCACACAATAAAATTTTATTTCATCTGTGGAAAGAAAGTGTTTCAAAAAGCTAAGTCTTTAGTCTTTGCTTTGAACCAAATCCTTATAGCTTCAAAAAATCCAAGGTAAATTGAAAGAAAGTATAGCCAGGAAAAAGTATGCTAATCAGTTATAGGCACAAGGGAAAAAGTAACCAAGAACTATTACCATTAAAAAGGCATGTTCTTTCCTTAGTATCTTTGTACTGTCGAAGACACTGTAATAGACGCCAGAGATAAGGGAGCATGAGTACCATCGGTATTGCACTTGAATGGCTACCACAAACAGAATCAGCTTCAAGCCATGCAATTGTGGCAACCTGAATATCAATTTGGGGAAAAAAAAGAAAAAAAGGAAGCTTACATTCAAAGAGTCAAGTACTTCTTCAGGGCAAGAATAACACCCCATAAACCTTGCGATTTTGATAAAAGTAACATCCAGAAAGACATTGCATGTCATTAGTGAACATTATATTTGTATAGATAGCTGAAAGCAAATGAAAATAACAACCGGTGAGAAGAACAAAAAATACACCAATTTTTAACTTTCAGGCTCCCCAATTAGTGTACTTTCCCAAATTTCCTGCCACTCTTATTGGCTGATATGCATTAGGCCCATAGCACTCAGGAGTTTCATGCTATGCTCATGCCTTATCGGCACTCAATTCCAAAGAGCTCTCCATGAAGCTAGTGCATTGTGTTGGATATTATAATAAAACCATCCAAATGCCTTCACTTAATAGCTTAAGCTTAATCAACTGTATGGTTGACAAACTAATAATTGTGTATCACTCAGCTTACCACTGATTATACCGGATTCATAAATGCCCGCATGAAGAGAGGGAGAATAAATGATAATTGAAAATGCACATGTAAAATTGCATATTTATGCTGGAGAGATGACATAATTAGATGTGTTTAAATTTCAGATCACTACAATAAGATAAAATGGTGGATATATCATAGATGATGTTTTACACATGTGGAATGGATACTTGGACTAACAACAGTAAAAGGTAAATCAACCTAAAAGATAGATTCAACTCAAGAGACTGTAAGAAAAAACATAGAATAACTCAATCAGTTTAAAGGATATATTAATTACCTGTCTGTTAACCATTCTACAAACCGAGCGCTCCAAATCTGAAAATACCTGTAAGCAAAGGTTAGCTCCCATTCAGTAACATAAAAGGCATCAAGATAGACCCAAAAAAAGGGTAAATTTACAATCTCTAAGTATTTAAATTGAAGAATGGTGACGTTTGAGATATGGCATACTTTGGGGGGAAAGCACCAAGAAAGCAACTATTATGTTATTTTTTGTACCTTTGCCATGGAAGTGAAAATATCAGCCACAAAAAAGTCAGGAAATGTTATTGGCTGCATGGAGAAATTGAAAAGATCATTATCTGTGCAGGTCAAAATAGGCATTACAAAAATGACATTCACAGGAAAATGACACAAAAAAAATACATTACAAACAAGTAAAATTAGTTACAACGTAAAATATAAAACCCAGTAAACAATTTATAGGTCATTTGAATGAGAAATTCACATTAAGAAACTAAGAAATTGGAAACCTAGATTGGATCTCGCAGGTGCTTTATAAAGGGAACAGAGCTGATAAAAAGTCAAAATTTCATATTCTACCAGCATGGACATATGCAATGACCTAGCATGAAGGTTTGTTACTTGTTTGACAGGTTTCCGAACCAGATAAGCTGTGACAAAATCTACGCTTCTAACTGTAGAAGTATAAATTAGCACAAAAGCTTACCTGTAGAGGGAAAGCTATCCGCCACATTGTCCTTAAGAAGAAGAAACGAGATGACAAATAGAAAATATCGAAGGGAAAGATCAACACTATTGCAACAAAGATGTAAAGAAGCACCTGCAAATGTGCATGAGAAAGTCAGAACATATCATAGAAAAACAAATTTTCTTAAAACTGAAAATTTGCTGATATCTTGGAAAACTTATTTCTAGCTACTTCAAAAATTAACTAACATGTTTGATTTTTTTTTTTTTTCAAAATTATAATCAATAACTGCCCAAAGTTGGTAAGAAAATTAAAAAAACGAAAAGCATTATCTATGAAACAGAAAGAAAAAGTAGACTAAAACAGGCAGATAAAACAAATCCTCTTCAAGTAAGGTTGATAGTTTTACAACAACGAAAAAGCAAATGAATGCAATATCTAAGTAAAAATGTAATTCAATTAACTGAAAGAGTAACAGAGAGAAAGCTACGAGCAAAACAAGAGATAGAGCAGATATTACACTGGTTGTGAAGCAGCCAATGATACTTCTCCATGAGAATACAGATAGAGATAAGCAGTCATGCTACTTGGGACAATGATTGTCATCCATATACTACACTGCAAATAAAATACAGAGTAGCAGCAAATGTTAAAACAAGATAATATGTCCATAGCGCTAGCATTCCAATGGGGTTAAAAACAAATGGTACTATTGTCACGACATCAGTTATTTCTGTTTTTAATAAATATTTCAAACAAAGATATCACTAACCTTTAAGATTCATTTCAAGTATGTTACTTCCATAATGTTCATAACATCGCCTTTAAAGCAATCAGCATGAAAGAAAATTTGAGATATTGCTTTCAAGAGGCGACCAGAATAAAATTGTCACATGATAGCTAAACAATATTGCTTATTGCCAAACCTAGAGACAAGCATTATGTTGCAGAATGAACATGCACATAATAAATTTAAGGTTGTACTCTCCCATCTGTACACACATAACTGTGAGGCAACATTGACCTATAAGATATAGGACTGGGTTAGCATCTGATAGTGTTAAAAAGGATGCTATGGTGAAAATGGAACATAAGAGAAGAATTATCTGTTTTCTTAGATGGTTCGGTTCTAATAATAACTAAAGAAACAGACCCAAAGAAAACAATCTTGTCATATTCGAAAATTCAATCTCTAGAGAATAGGAAAATGCTGGGATGTATAACTGTCATCAGTGACTATCTTGTTGCTGAATTTCACTTTTTCTGCAAAGCCAAGGTCAAACTACAAATTACGTAGTAAGTTTAGCAACCAGCAACTTCAGAAACATACAAGGAAACATCCGATCCAAATGCATATCAATATGCTGAGATAATTTTGAATATTCATACAATTAGATCATCAAAGTGGCATGAAACTTTGCTCCAAATCCTACAATCTACTGTAAAATAAAAAACTATCTTTCTTCAAAGGACAAATTAATTTGGCCTTGCATTAGCTAGTTGTTGTTGTTGTATTCGTATGAGATATTCACATTGTCTCCAAACTGAAGAAAAAGAAGCTGAGTACCTTCCATATTTCATTGTGAGTAAGATGGTTTTGATCCAGATCAAAAACTTTTGCATAGCTTACATTGGACTGTGAAAAAACCCACAAGTTCACCCCCCAAAGCCAGACCATCATAGTCTGTAATAATAACAATTAAATTTATTAGGTACGATGTTTTGAATAGACAACATATGCAGGATAATTAACTTCAACTCACCACAAGAAGAAGAGGGTTATAATACAAAAATGCCTCATATATAAAAAGATTTCGCAAATTTGCATCCATTCGCATGACAGAATCCCATCCAACCTGATGCAAAGGGAGGAACTAGATGAGTATTAGGTCATAAATAGTTAAACTGATGACAGCGGATTTTTCACAAGAGTAACTCATTGGCATCCATGGAGACCAATAATATTACAAAAGCAAAAAGGGGCAAACTCTAACCTTACAACAAATAAAGCCCCACGTCAGAAAGAGTAACACCTGAGAAAATCAATCAGGTAGGTTTAGAAATCACAGAAGTTAGCAAACTACATAAGTTTTAAAGCAAGGTATTCACTATCAACATAAAGATTAATATAATCAATTTGACCAAAAAAATCAACAAATCAACATCAGTCCAAAAGTGAGCTGGTTATAGTTCTCTTCCATAAGGTTGAGATTAAGCCCATCTAACATGACTGAGGAACACTGGAGTCGAACATGGATGTTGCAACAAATGCAAATTTGGAGATTAAATAAATACAAGACAGAAAGTTCTTGGCAATCAAATATTATAGAATGAGCTGCTCTAAAGATATCATTTTAAATAGGAAAGACCCTCAAATAAAGTTCTATGTATAGTTGAACCTAGTAAGCATGTAAGTTAAGTTTTATATGGTACCAAACAGACATACAAGGTCTGAACGACAGGCAGATGAATTAATGAATATATTAACAAACCTTAAACCTCCATAGAAAAAGAGGAGACGGCATAGCACTTTGAATTGGTGAGGTTAAACTCTTCATTTCATGAGAACTCTGTTATTCGACAATCTTATTAGACAAAATTGTTGACCCTGCTCGTTTCTGAAACAAAATGAACAGAAATTGAAGCGCATTAAAGCTCATCAAAGATTGTTTGAATACCAAATGATAGACAAGCATAAAGGATCGCATCATGCACATAAAAAAGGAAAGTTGGCATAAAATATAGAATCTGAACCACCACAACCAAAGCTCACATTGTCAGCCAAACTTGAAGCATATCAATAAAACTTACCAAGGTCCTCCTTTCAATGTAAAAACTCAAAATCATTGGTTGTTCTAAGGAATATTTGTTCTCCTTAAGGCCAAAAAGGCAAAGACTACAATACATGTGAGAGGAAGTTAATGTGGAGACTGAAGTGCTATAAGGCAATCTGTGAAGCCAAAGTTGTATTCCCTGAGAGGAGAAAACAAGTGAATCCAAGAACGCTAGCTTCCCAAATGGGCAAGGAACGAACTTACTAATTTCCCAAGACTAAACCTCACAGAGTTCAAGGAATAGGGAGGGAATCTTTATGATAATGCTTAAGATAGCTCAAAATTCTGAACAAAGAAAAAGTTAAAGTTTTCCTTCATATGACTTCTTTAAGCGAGTTGCTTTACTTTAAATTTCCTAGTAAGTCCGAAACTGAAATAAATGGAAACAGAGGACCCATTAAATACAAATCCAACAACCTCAACCCATTTTGCGTTCCGTCAACAGAAAATAAAACACAAAAAAGTTGAAATTTTGAAATGCCATACAGTTGGAGCAAATTTATTGCCAATTCTTCAAAAACTTAGGCTTCACATAAAATAAATCCACATGAAAATGAAACCAAAAAAATTTCCTGCCCACACGATTCCGGAACAAGGAACAACAACAGAAACATAAAAGTCCATGCATCTGAAGGCATCAAGGCCCAAATTTGCCAATTACCCAGCATGCAAACAGCTCTACAACCTCTTGAGATATTAACAATTTACAGGTAAACACAGTGCAACAAGAACAATCCAGGAAAAGAGAAGTTACCGCAGATCAACTCCTACAAGAGGAAGCAATGGAGCTAGAGTGCAGATCGATCTCCGGTTGGTGCGCTTAAACGATTGGGGACATATGAATATTTGTCGTGTCCTGGTCCGCGAATCAGATCTCAGACCAGAATTACGGGAATTTGGTTAGGCGCGAAGGAGGCTTCATGATATTAGGAGGGAACGTCAAAGGTAATGTCAATGATAAAGCATGTTGCTTGCATTGCCGTTAACAAGAAATTTAGGAATTGAAGAAGACTTAATTACCCACTTCGCCGTCGTTTGTGTTAGAAAATATTGACAGGAGTTCAGAGCTTTGCAGGAATTGGAACTTTCAAGTTTTACTGCGGTGAGATTACTCTGCCCGTTATCTTCACTTCCTAGCGCCTTTGGGAGGGAATGGTTAGCAGACAGCGTCTGTTATAGAAAAGGGTAACAAACCAATGTTATGAAGAATAAGGTGATGAGCTACATGGCACAGGCTTTGAAAAAAAAAAAAGTAATTTAGAAATATAAAATATGATTTTATTTAATTTTTTCGCAATCAAATTGATTTTTTCATAACCCATGCATCCATATATAAATTCGAAGTCATAACTTCAACTAAAATACTTGAGGTTATTTATTTGAATTCCCGATAATGTACAAGTCAAAGAAATTTGTTTACGGAAGTTCCAAATTGGATGGTGTTTTTTTTTTTTTGGGGAGGGTGTTCTGTGTGTGTGTCTCTGGTTTTTTGGGGAAAGGCAGGGCGCGAGTGGAGTGGTTAAAAAAAAAATTGCTGACATAGTTTTTCAGTAGAATAATGATAATAGCAAGCATTCCTATTGTTTTTGTTTAGGCGCTTTCGAAGTGGGACGCGTCCGTTTTGTCAACTCGTAAACATAACAAATCTAATATTCCTACTTTCGGTCGCCATGGCGAGCTCAGAAGAAGCGAAGCTCGAACGGTTCCTCCAGTGGCTACAGGTTGCTTGACACAGTTTCAATCAGTAATAGAGACAGGGATATTTTGTTGCGTTGGTTATTTTAAATTTGTTGGGTTTTGAATTTAGGGGAATGGAGTTCAACTTCATGGTTGCAGCATCAAGTATTGTGATTCCAGAAAAGGGTTTGGCATCTTTTCAACTAAAGATGTTTCCGATGGTAATCCGAATCTTCCAAACACTTCAATCAAGTATATTTAGAGATCATTTTAAATATATGTGGCGGGGGTCATCTTACCATTGCTTTGCTTGTTCTTCGCCCACTAGCTGAGAAAATGTAAAGTTGGTGTTGATTGAAGGATTTGAGCTCTAAACTTGAAACTTTGTCATTGATGGCTAAACCTAGAAATTGGAGCATTGGATGTGTAATTCTGCTAGCGTGTCTTTTTTGGAATTTTGAATGTACACGTGCTTCTTTTGGGTAAAAAATAAGCTATCTTTAATGCATACGCCTGGTGTATGGAGCATAAATAAGTAGTCTTTCTGGCTGATAGTAACGATAACAAACTTGCATCATAGTTGATCAATTCGTGAAAAGCAGATCATTTAACCTGCTTGTTTCAAATTAGATTTTCTGGAAAAGCATTGTCAGTCATCGCCATAAGACGGTTTTTAGTTGTAGCTATACATATATTATGACCAGAATGATATAAGTTGCATTTGGCTGCAAGCATTCTTAATCAAAGGAGGAATTTTTATTCGAATTTTCAAATTGAAGTGGGCAAAGTATCAGACATGTGTTCACCCGGGGGGGGGGGAAGGTATCAGATAAGTAAATCCTTGTCACGGGTTGATGTATTCTTCCCTAAATATAGGGAATTAAACTAACTAATATAGGAAATACATTTCCTGGTGATATTTGCTTGAAACATGATTCATTAAGTTTGATTAGATAACATACGATATATTTCGATGCAACCATCTCAAAGTCAAGCAATGCCTGCTAAATGCATTTAGTTTAATGCTACCGTATAGGACTCTGTCTAATTTTTTAAGTCTATACTATGCTGTGAAAAATGTGACAAATGTTTCTGAAATAGGAGTTCATGAGTATATTTCCACCTAAAAAATATCTCCTTTCTATTAGCTCTTGAAAATAGATCAAGTGGTGTTAAATTCTCCATGAAGCAGGGGTTCTACTGGTTGTTCCGCTGGATTTAGCAATAACTCCAATGAGGGTATTGCAAGATCCTCTTCTCGGTCCCGAATGCAGGGCAATGTTTGAAGAAGGAGAAGTAGATGACAGGTTCTTGATGATTTTGTTCTTGACTATGGAGCGCTTGCGTCATAATTCTTCATGGAAGCCGTATGTTTGGTTGATTATGTTTGACTTTTAGTTGATGGTTTTGCTTTATTCTTTGTCATGAGTTTTACTTGTGGAAAATGAATTCAGGTACCTTGACATGCTTCCAACTAGTTTCAGAAATCCACTTTGGTTTAGTGATGATGATCTTCAAGAGCTGAGGGGAACAACATTGTTCCGTGCTACTGAATTGCAGGTGATTTATCTTCTGATCGATAATTTGACAACAATTAATTCTTTTAATAAAACTTATGCTTCTCTTGCCAATTCAAGGACATATCGTGATATAGAAAAGGGATGATTATGAATTTTTGACATATAGGCAGTAGACAGCTGATGTCTATGTTTAATTTTCAAATTTCTTGTAGTAGTTTTGTGCTTTCTCCGTGCTTAATGTTACTAATTAGAGTCTGCATTTGGTTGGTTACTTGAATAGTTGAATGGCATAGGAGGAATCTGTAGTTAATTTTTCAGGTTATTGAGAGTTTACATTCATACTTAGTGCAGAAAGGGATAACATACAGAGTGGGCTATAAGAATCAGCCAACGTCTTCACAGAAGTAGGGAGCAAAAGGCAAAGTAAATGGGTGCCTAACAAAATCTAATAAAGTATGAAATAAAAAAAGGAGAAATCAGCATTGAATTTGCTCCACAAAGACCCCAAAAAAAAAAGAATTAGTGGACCATGGTTCCTATCACACCATTTGCAGAAGGACTAGGTCTAATTTCCTGAGGTCACCTTATTCATACAGCAATCTTAACTGGCTGACAGAAATTATGATCAACATGGGAATAGGAAGTGGTTTGACAGAAATTATGATATCTGTGGTCACAAGAGAGACAAACAGATCAACAGAGGTGGCGGAGTATGCCTGTTCTAGAAGAGTGGCTGCCGGCTTTAGTTTATCAAGGCCTTATGAGAGCAGTGAAGGGGTGTATGCTGCCTTCTATCATACAAGAATGTAGATTCCAAAATGTGGAATTTTTTGTGATATTTTTGCATAGTATGTGGGTATGAATCAGGCCTCTGTGGGCTCTTATGCCATGAAGATTTTCGGACTGTTGAGCGTTTGAAGTCTGTCTTGCTGAAAAAAAAATGGGATTACGTATGTTTAAAGAGAGTAAGCTACAAGAATCAGCCAATCACTCCGCATAACTAAGGAGCAGAAGACAACAAAATAAATGCCTTATAAAGATATAGCAGAGAGTTACAAGGAAGAAGGCTGCATTGTCATCTACTCCATAGAGGCAAATAAAAAAAATAGTATGGGAATAATGTGCAATAAACACGGGATTCCAACTGTCTTGATGAAGTTCTGAACTTTAAGCAGGAATGCATAATTGTAGTACTGATACAAGAACCAGTATGATCTTTACCCAATCCCAAATACCAAACTAGTCTTCTAGTGCTGATTTTTGTGATGCGATAGAGATCTCTATGGTTCAAATTTTGGTTGATTCAGTGTTTGAGATAAATATGTCTATTATGATTAATGTGGTCTGGGAAAGAACCAGATGTCAATCCTGTCACAAGCTTTTTCCTATCTCACTTAATAGCACATGTGAATTGGTTCATCTTGCAGAAGAAAAACTTGCTGTCGTTGTATGATACCAAAGTCAAGGCTTTGGTGAAGAAGCTCCTGATTCTTGATGGATATTCAGAGACGTATGTATTGGGTGACTTGATGTAGTCTGTCTTTATTAATGGGTTATTTACACTTGACATGATTCCTGCCTAGTGGAACTAGGCTTCTTTTGTTGTTGTTGTATTTACATTTGAGAAATTTAAAGTATTATAATCTGTGGGTAGTAAGCATTGGCTTTTTATTAATAATATTAATTTTGTTGTGGGGACTATGATTTTGACATTCCTATTGTTCTACAATGTTGTAATTAATTCATTTTTTACTAATTTACCTGATATGAGAACCATGGAACTGCCTAGCACTCTGTAAGCTGTGCGTGTGCGCGTGTGTGTGTGTGTGTTTGGCCAGAATAAGATGTGTTTTCAAATAGTCGTTTCTTAGCTAAATTATAATCTTATACTAAAACTGCTTCCTTTCTGTCTCATCTGTTTCACTAGTGATGTGTGCTTTGAAGATTTCCTTTGGTATGTGCTTCTCATGAACCTTTACTATTACATCAAATAATTAATCTTTATAGCTTTTAGTCAACTATCAGAACTTCTACCCTTGGAGGCTAACAGCCGATTCACCTCAATGCTAGGGCAAATTCAGTATTCTGGAGTCGTGCTTTGAATATCCCTTTTCCTCGTTCTTTTGTATTTCCGAAAATGCAAACACCTGACAGTTGCATTTCAGTCAATGGAAGTGTCAAGACTCTAATTAATGGTGAATATGGTGATAAAACAAGTCCATCATTTTCCTATTTTTTAATTATATTCTGGTTTATATTCAGTTAATTTGAATGATCCTCTTTCAGCCTTTGCTGAATATAAGTCATCATGTTAATATTGGCAAGTTTCATTTCAGAAAGCCAGGTTGAAAAATCTGATGATGAAATCAATGAGATGGCCTGTAACAAAATACAGGGAGACCTAGTTTGGGTGGAGGGTCTTGTCCCGGGCATTGACTTTTGCAACCATGGTAGGTTGTTTAATGAAATCTATACATTTCAATTCACTTAATGTGTTTTGAGCCCCTTTCTTTTTGTTTCTCCATTTGTTAAGTTCTTCTGATTTGCCCCTTTTAAATTTAGGGTTTAGATATAGCTAGAAGAAGAAAATTCCATTCTCATAGACAAAAGTCATTCCTAGACTTTCACCTTTTTCTTGGGTTGTTGATTGGCTTTCTGATGAACATCTGTAAACTTGTGCTATTATCATGGATAAGACTTATTTATTACATTTATTATACACCAAAACAAGGAGCCTTTGCTGTTTTTCTTTCTCTACTTCCGCAGATCCCTTTCTTTCAAGCCCGTGTCTAGATGGGTTTGCTTTAATGGTTGTATTCTTCTGTTTTTCATGGTAATAATGGTGTCATGTATTACTTATCTCTTGGATCCTGCTCCAGAAGGAAAGTTGAAAATTAGAAAGATGTCAGATAAATGTCAATTATTCCTTCTGTTTGACATTAGAGTTAAACAAGATTGTATCTGCATATGCATGTATGCATGGCTATTTGCAGCATGGTTTGACTTAAAGCTATAAATGCAAAATGCCTTGAAAAATTTTCAAACTTTTAGTTCAAATGTCTCTAGTGACTGACTTGCCATGATTGGCCTTTCAGATCTGAAGCCAATAGCAACTTGGGAAATCGATGGAACTGGATCAGTCACGCATCTTCCTTCTTCCATGTACCTTCTCTCTGGTAATATTGTTCTCTTTCTTGTTCAGTCTGGCAACTATTCCCTTGTTAACTCCTGAATTTTACTTTTATTGCTTTTGACATGCCGTTTTATTTTTCTTCTCTGCGACTCCATTTAAGTAGCTTCATCATTCAATACATTACTGATCTTTATTTTCTCAACTGTTAAGCTGCGCAAAATCCCTCAGAGATTGGTCAAGAAATTTCAATTAGCTATGGCAACAAAGGAAATGAGGTATTGTTGTTATCCCATCCAAGGTTAAAAACAGAAGGGAAAAAAATGTTTCCGATTTCATGGATTATTATTTGGATTTGAAAGTTTACCTTTGAGCGTATGTTGAAGTTTCAATGCATTGTCACAACATCCTTAATCCGTAAAAGACTTTTTGCTTTTTCACATGCAAGACCCTTTTTTTCCGATGTTGATATAAATTTCTTTCTCCCTTTTGCAGTTTTAAATTTTGATATATGGGCATAAAGCATGTGTGTTTCTGCATGCTGGAAGCATTTAATTTGGGTTACCTTTGTTTTGACTATAATTTTGATCTTTTCCGCCCCTGATTTATCATTTTTCCTTTAAAGAGTCTGCTGCCAGAAGCCAAACTGAGCCTGGTGCATTCTACACACCATTGTTTCAGCAACAATGCACCTTATCACAATATGCTTGGTCCAAGATTGTATGGCATGCTCCCATGCACCGGTTTTCAGTTCAGATTTTGATGACCCTGCAATCAGCGCCCCACCAACCTCTTTTTCTGTGCAATACTTCTCTGACTAGAAGCGTCAATAATTTTCCACATGATTAGAATTTAGTCTCTCTTAATTATTGTAGATAATATAAAAATAATTATTAAATATTCAGATCTCAAGGGATTAGGATAGATTTAAATATTTCTTTGTATCTCTCGTGCATCTCTCCTTATCCCGAATATCTCTCCATGTATATTCTTTCCATATCTCCAGATATCTCCTTCGGCTGTATATATATTGTACCACTGTACATGTGAATGGAATAAGACGAAGTATTTCTCCCTAAAAGTCTTCATGGTATCAGAGCCCCACTGGTTCTGTTCACAGCATTCGCACTCTCCTTCACCGTCCTGTCCTTCCCTGTAATCGGCCAAGTCCAGGTCGATGGATTCACCCGATTCCTCCTCCACGTCCGACCCGACCCGTGTCGACCAGCGTTCTGCCTCAACCTCTAATGTCGACCCGTCGCCCGTTGTGATTGTCTCCGAAAAGCTCACGGATAGCAATTATAGGGAATGGGCGCAGGCGGTCCGTCTAGCCATCGGCGGTCGAGGGAAGCTCGGTTACATTACTGGTGAGTCGAGACCTCCGTCTGATTCTGCGTCTCCTGCTATGACCAAGTGGGTGACCGAAAATTCTATGGTATCCTCATGGTTGGTAAATGCCATGTCCTCCCATCTCAAACGAAGCTTCATGTACCTGCCAACAGCAAAGGATATTTGGGACGCCGTACGAGATTCATACTCTGATGGTGATGATCTCTCCCGTTTGTATGCCCTCAAAACCAGCATTTGGAGCCTTAAACAAGGTACTCGGAATGTTACCGAATATTGGCTGGAACTTGTGGGTCTGTGGCAAGAATTAGATTTGCTTGCTATTGAAGAATGGTCTTCCTCCGCTGATGCAGCACGTTACCGTCAGAGTGTAGAGAAGGAGCGGGTGTTTCAGTTCCTCGCAGGCCTCAACCCAGAATTTGATGGTGTTCGTAGTCGTATCTTGAGTCGTCAATCCCTGCCGTCTACTCGTGAAGCTTTCTCCGAAGTTCGCAGGGAAGCCTCCCGACGCCAAGTCATGTTACCTGAACCTACACCTTCTCACTCTGACTCCTCTGCCTTGGTTAGTAAGGCAACCAGTTCCGGACCTCCCGCCACTAAGTCTAAGGTTGTGTGTGATCATTGTAAGAAACCGGGTCATACTCGGGATCGTTGCTGGGATCTTCACGGAAAACCCACTGATTGGAAGTCTCGCAAGGGCAAATCCCGCGGTTACCATGTCTCCCATGAATCTTCTCTAACTTCCACTGATCCTTCTCCGGCTGCTCTCAACGCACAATTCACCCAATTACTTGATTTATTGAAAGGTCTTCAACCCCAATCACGGGACCCTGTTGCCTCTGCTTCCGTTGCCGGGAAAGGTAATGGTACGTCTCCTGCTCTCCCTTCTGACAAGTGGATCGTTGACACGGGCGCTACTGATCATATGACTTCAAATGCTCGAATGTTTGTCTCTTATTTCCCTTGCGCTGGCCATAAGACGATCACAACGGCTAATGGCACTGATTCTACTATTGCCGGGAAGGCCACAGTGCATATTTCTGATTCTCTACACCTTGAATCTGTCTTGCATGTTCCTCATTTAGCTTGTAACCTTTTATCTATTAGCAAATTAACCAAACATGCAAATTGTGGTGCTTATTTCTTTCCTACGTATTGTTTATTTCAGGATCTCTCCTCGGGGAAGATGATTGGCACAGCTAAGGAGCATGAAGGTCTCTATTATCTCGATATTTCTACCGTACGTGCTTTATGTTCCCAGATGCATGGTCTTGCCTCTTCGAATGATGTTTTCTTATGGCATAAAAGGATGGGTCATCCTAGTTTTTCCTATTTGCAACGATTGTTTCCTCATTTAAACATTAATAAAAATTCTTTTCCTCACTGTGACTCTTGTGAATTTGCTAAGCATCATCGTTCCTCTTTCCCCGCTTCCCAATACAAACCAACTCGTCCGTTTTCTATTATTCATAGTGATGTATGGGTCCCTCACGTGTTCCAAATCGTTCCAATGCAAAGTGGTTCGTTACTTTCATTGATGACCATACTCGTATGTCCTGGGTCTATTTGCTTAAAGACAAATCTGATGTTTCATCTGTCTTCATGGAATTTCACAAACTCGTCCAAACTCAGTTTAATTCCTCCATCCAAATTTTGTACTCCGACAATGGCACCGAATACTTTAACCATTCCCTACATCATTTTTTGAAAACCAATGGCATTGTTCACCATAGCTCTTGCCCTAACACACCCCAACAAAATGGTATCGCTGAACGCAAAAATCGTCACCTACTTGAGGTTGCCCGGGCTCTTCTCTTCACATGTAATGTGCCCAAATTTTTTTGGGGTGATGCTATTCTCACTGCTACACATCTCATCAATCGTATGCCTTGCCGAGTCCTTTCCTATATCTCTCCGTTAGACAAACTCCGTGAAACTATTCCACTCACCCATCTTAATCATTCCCTTCCGCTGCGTGTCTTTGGTTGCTCAGCCTTTGTTCATCTCCATCACACTCAATCCAAATTTGATTCTCGTGCTGTTAAATGTATTTTTCTGGGGTATTCTTCAACTCAGAAAGGGTACAAATGCTTTGATCCTGTTTCCAAGCGTATTTTTGTCAGCCATGATGTCACCTTCTCTGAGCATGAACCTTACTTTCCTAAGCCTTCCATTCAGGGGGAGAGTTGGTGTGAATTTCAGTCTAAGGAAAATGTGCCCGAGCCAATACCTCCCCTCTTCCTTGATGAGTCCATAACATCACCTAAAGTTAACCCTTCACCGAACCCGGACCAAATGCCTAAGACAGGGGGAGACACAAACAAAAACAAGTACAACAAGGTCTATTCTCGACGAAATACAGAGACAATAGAGACTGTCATGCCCATAGTAGTGCCAGATTCAGAACCAGGGAAAGATTCTAGGGAGACTGAATTGATAACTGAAGATGATCTTCCCATTGCCTTGAGAAAGAAGGCACGCTCTTGCACCTCACATCCTATTCAAAAGTATGTATCTTATGCCACACTTTCACAACATTATCATGCCTTTGTGACTGAACTTGACAAGTTCAATATACCTAACAATGTTTATGAAGCACTTAAACATCCGGAATGGAGGAAAGCAGTAATTGAAGAAATGATGGCATTGGAAAAAAACAGAACATGGGAGATAGTTGACTTACCAAAGGGTAAGAAAGTTGTGGGATGCAAATGGGTATTTACTCCTAAGTACAATGCAGATGGCTCACTAAACAAGTTCAAGGCACGTCTAGTAGCGAAGGGTTTCACTCAAACCCATGGAATAGACTACAATGAAACATTTGCCCCCGTAGCAAAACTCAACACCATAAGAGTTTTACTGTCTATTGCAGCTAATTTGGATTGGTCACTACAACAGCTAGACATCAAAAATGCCTTCCTAAATGGGGAATTAAAAGAAGAAGTGTACATGACTCTACCTCCAGGCTTCGACAAGGGAAGAAGAAACCAAGTGTGTAAACTTAGAAGGTCTCTGTACGGTCTGAAACAGTCACCAAGAGCATGGTTCGATAGATTCTCCAAGGTCCTAAGAGCTGAAGGCTACAAGCAAAGTCTATCTGATCATACAATGTTTGTCAAAAAGAATGGGAGGTTAACAACAATCCTCATTGTATATGTGGATGACATCGTTCTCACTGGAGATGATGAGAAAGAAATTAACAGAATCAAGGTTGCTCTAAACCAGGAATTTGAGGTCAAGGATTTAGGCATCTTAAAGTACTTCCTTGGAATGGAAGTTGCAAGGTCACAGAAGGGAATTTATGTTTCTCAGAGGAAATACATTCTGGACCTACTTAACGAAACTGGCATGCTTGGGTGCAGATCGAGCAAAACCCCTATAAGTACCAAGAAGAGCAATAACAAGAAGAAGAAAGTCATGACAGAAGAAGAAAAAAGGAAGCAAAGGAAAGATGAGGAACCAGTAGATATCGGAAGATACCAAAGACTGGTTGGAAAGCTGATTTACTTATCCCACACAAGGCCAGATATCGCTTTTGCAGTAAGTGTGGCTAGCCAACACATGCATTCACCAAAAAAGGGGCATATGGATGCTGCCTACAGGATATTAAGGTACTTAAAAGGGACACCTGGAAGAGGACTATTCTTCAAGAAATGTGACTCTAGAGCCGTGGAAATTTTCACTGATGCTGATTGGGCAGGAGCTCGAGAAGACAGTAGGTCAACATCTGGCTACTGTACGTTCGTGTGGGGCAATCTTGTAACATGGCAAAGTCAAAAACAGAAGGTGGTCTCAAAAAGCAGTGCAGAATCCGAGCTGAGAGCCTTAGCACAAGGTATCATGGAAGGTTTGTGGCTGGAGAGAGTAGTTGCAGAAGCTCATTTGCATATCAATGGACCACTAAAACTGTTCTGTGACAACAAAGATGCTTTAAACATGGCGTTGAACCCAGTACAGCACAGCAGAACCAAACATGTTGATGTTGATCGGCACTTCATTCGTGAGAAAGTGGAGGAAGGACTTATATGCCTCTCCTATGTAACTTCAAAACAGCAACTAGCAGATATCCTCACCAAAGGACTATCAGAAGACGTATTTGAAAACTTCATCAGCAAGTTGGACATGTTTAGCATCTATGATCCAACTTGAGGGGGAGTGTAGATAATATAAAAATAATTATTAAATATTCAGATCTCAAGGGATTAGGATAGATTTAAATATTTCTTTGTATCTCTCGTGCATCTCTCCTTATCCCGAATATCTCTCCATGTATATTCTTTCCATATCTCCAGATATCTCCTTCGGCTGTATATATATTGTACCACTGTACATGTGAATGGAATAAGACGAAGTATTTCTCCCTAAAAGTCTTCAATTATGTAGTACGCTGGTGGTTTTTTCATCCCCCCCAAGTGACGGCAAAGCATGCGTCCATACATTGGAAGTATTAGGGTACTTCGCTAGGTTTTTTTCTCATGTTTCATTTAGCCTAAACTAACACTGTATGACATCATTTTTATATGCCTGTATTATCTTATTTAACCATTCCTTTTATTGGGCATCAGTGTTCTATGATTGAGGCAGAAAGGCCTTCCAGTTTTTAGTGAAAAGCTTGTCATGAGGCTTTTTTTAATTTATTTGAGTCCATATTTACCTTTTGCAAATCGTTCTTTCACATACAGTTAGTGATATATTTGCAGATATACCTTCATATACATCAAAATACATGATTTTAGTTGCTGATTAAAATTTACTCTTAAGTTCATTTCAACTGCTGCATTGTTTTTATTTTCTTCTATTTGATGCAGGAACTTCTCTATCTGTATGGTTTTGTGATCGATAATAACCCAGATGACTATCTCATGGTAACAGCTTTCATTTAGTATGTAATTTGTACACCCTTGGCAAAACTTCTCTTTAGCATATTATTCCCCTTCTTTATTGTTGTCTATGGTATAATATATCATTTGGGACTTAAAGTAACTTCTTTGTCTTCGTGTTCATAATGACGTAAATCATAACAAGAACATTAAACACTCTTACGCATAAAAAGAGATGATTGTTCCTAAAACCACGCATAAAATACCATTATGGTAGAATCGTTTAGGCTGGAGCCTCCTTCTGCATGTGTGTGTAGGCATGTGTGTGTAGGCATATATGCATTCACAATTCAGCCACTCATCTTTTCAATAAGGAAATACATAAATGCAATCATACTGACGTGATGGGCTGAAAGAAATGTTTTAATTTTTATTGCAGTTTCAAATATAACTTTGAAATCTAAAATGTGTGCCTATTTCTTCCCCCGGCTTTTTATCAAGTACTATAAGATAGCATTCCAAGCATGTCTGCCACTATAGCAGATCATAACTTAATCCAGCTGGCAGTTTTGCAACTATAGTTGTGTTTCGAATTTGCCCCTTGCCCTGGGTATTGTTTGCGGTTGTTACTGCTGTTAATTGCCCTATCTCAGTTCGTGATTAAACTTGCATTTGATCACACTTAATATGGTCTGATGTATATCATAGCTTATCAAAGATGTTGGGTCCTTTCAGGTCCACTATCCAGCAGAAGCAATTGCTTCTATATCTTGCTCAGAATCCAAAAGTCGGCTTCTTGAAGCACAGGTATGCAAGTAATGTATCTCCTATTGGACTTATTATGTGTTACCTTTAAGTTCGTAAAAATCCTAGTAATTATTGTTCTTGGTGTTTATTGCTATTGTAAATCAATTGCTTTCTCTTGTTTATATTTACAGAAGGCTGAGATGAGATGTCTTTTGCCCAAGACTTTGTTGGATCATGGGTTTTTTCCTTTAGGCACCAAAAAAGGTGGGGAAAATGAGAGGTGCAAGGTAGACCAAGTTTGCAATTATAGTTGGAGTGGTCAACGGAAGACACCATCTTATGCAAATAAGCTGGTCTTTCCCGAGAAGTTTATGACAGCCTTGAGGACCATTGCCATGCAGGAGAATGAGATCTTTAAAGTTTTCTCACTGCTTGAAGAGGTGCGTTTTATTTTCATAAACCTTTCCCCATTTCCTGTCATTAGATATCCTCGGCCTGTTCTTCGTATAAACATGACCCACCAGCCTATTGGGCTTATCAGAGACATTGAGGATTTCTGATGCAGCTATAATTTTCAGTTTCTGTAACTCTCTTTTGATCACATAGTTGAGAGCAAATACTAAATATAATTATTTTATTTATTTTCTTGTATGGCCATTAAGAATGTCAAGTGTGCATTACCTCTCTCAGTGGCTGACAAAAAGACCCTACTACCATGCAATGTTTTATAAGGTAGCAACTGGCAAATATATGATTTAATGTATTTTCTACTGCAAGAGACTGCAAAAAATAAAATCCCATGCAATTAGAAGATGCTCCTCCAGTCCTTAATGTAGGACCTAATTGGGGAGTTGATGTTGATCCTATGTTTATGATCTATTTCATAAATTTATTAATTTTTCTCAAATTAACCCTATTGATATTCTCCTAACAATAATCAAGTATATCATATTAACTAATTTAACTAATATCTTTAATCTACTCAAATTAATTAACTAGGGCTTACATTAAAGACCAGAAGTGTAGTTCATTTTATTTCCTTCAACGTGTTAAAAGATGAATTATGTATTTTCTTGTGTGATAAATGAATCAGATGGTGAGTGAATGGTAGTACTTGCATACTTCCCTTGGGGACTAGCATAATCAAATCGAATCAAAATTTGAAATTTTTAAAGGTTTTGTTGCATTTCAAAGAGAAGGAATAGAAAGGGCAGTTTTTATTTTCTCCAAAAAAAAAAAAGGATATGGTCTTTGAACCTTAGTAAATTTATTGCAAATAATGAAAGAAGTAGAGAGATAGGAAAACAACTGATTCGGTTTCTCCCATTGCCAAGTGGCAACACACATGCGGGCTAATTTCTGGGCCTGAGCGAAATCTATTTGTTTATTTATATATGGGGTCAAGAACACTTTATCACTTCTCCCAGAAGCAAATATATAAGCATTTCATTCAATTATTTATCTATATCTGAATCCAACGTTTTAACTTAATTTTTTCCTCTAAAGCTTCTTGGATCTGGAGAGGAAAGAGAACCATCGGATACGGATGTTCAATCAGCAGTCTGGGAGGTCTGTGGCGATTCTGGAGCCTTCCAATTGCTTGTTGATCTTCTTCGAGTTAAGTAAGTGCCAGGAAATACTTAATAATTTCTGACAGCTTTACATGAAGTATAAGCGATATACTGATGCTTCTTGCAACTTGCCTTTTGCAAATGATGTTATGAGGCATTTCCCATATTGAGTAAAATGGATCTCGCCTAGTTTGGAATTAAGGTGTATCCTGTGGCTCACACTGACCAATTGCACTGCATGCAAGGTTAATGGATCTTGAAGAGGGTTCTGGAACGGAGGAAAGCGACACTGATTTGCTGAACAAGGCCCTCATTATTGATAGCCGGGATGATAACCAACAGTTGAAGAATAGTTCAAGGTAGGAATTAGTTTCCTTGGTCGGAGTAATTTGACTTGTACCTTTTAATTGCTAAGTAGAAAGGGTTACACGAGATTCACTGTCTTCTTGGGGGAAAAAGGATAAACTTTGGTACACGTCATGAATCCTCCGCATTAGACATCCTTCCAAAGACAGTACATTGACTAAATGAGAGCAGGGGCTCTGATTTATAGTGAGGGCCTCGCCATTAGAGTACCTGAGTTTTTATTACTGTACTCTTTACTAACACTATTCCTTTCTTTTAACCACTAAAACATTTCATCTACCATCAATCTTATGCACCATTGATCTTCTTTTAGCGCATTCAAAGAGAAATGAAGAATAGAGAAGAAGAAATAATTTTGTGGGTCGGATTTACATTTTTGTGGTATCTTGAATCTACCATATGAACTGTTTTCCTTTTCCATTTTATCGTTCTCTTTCTAATATATTTTCCAAACCTGCAGCAACACCAATGAGACTGAGGAGCACAAGTCTATGAGTAGAAACCAATGGTCTTCTATAGTATATCGGCAAGGCCAAAAGCAACTCACTCGCTTATTCTTGAAAGAAGCAGAACACGCTCTGCAATTATCCTTAGATGTAGAAGAGAGATAGAGAATTCTGTCACCTGTAGTCTCCTTTTCCGGTTAAATAAATGTGACTTTGGTATACTGAGGTCTGACTCTTACTGGACGAGATCAACAAGTTTAACATTTCTTGTTAACTTGCGTCTGACGTTTTAGCTTCCCCATCTCTACTTTCTGGCGTCTAATGATTCCTTTTCCATTTCTATTTCGGGGGCTTTTGTCTCTGCAATTTCGGCTATAGAAGAACACTGAATGGCGGGATGAAATCTGGTTCTGACGTCCTTTACGGTTGGAAATCGCGGATTGAAATCTGCTTTTAGTTTTCATTTTTGGGCCCCTTTTGCGCTATGGATTGAAATGTATAATTGTTGCCGTTCTCATGTTCAAGACCGTTGTTATTCCACGATTCCGATTCCAATTTATTTCGTTTTTATATTTTTATATTTTTTTAAAGTAATTATTGTATTAGTTCTGCATATTAAAGATTCCATATTTTTTATATTTTTATTTTATACATTTTGTCTTTTATATTTTTTATATTTTTGTATTAGTTACAGTCAATACACATGATTAGTACAGGTAATTTAGGAAAGACAACACCTAATACAAATAATTAAGTTAACAAATTTTTTTAATATACTTAAATTAGTTAACTAGTTCTTATATTAAAAACAAAAAATAATAATAATATATTATTATTATTATTATTATTATTATTATTATTATATGATTTGTGATTCTTACTCCAATGTTTTGGTGGCCTTGAATGGTGATTTGGTCGGTCACCGTGCCGGTGTGGGGTAATCTTCTTTAATGGTTTATTTTGTTCAAAAGATATCGTAATCATTTGATATTGTAAACATTCATTTCGATGAAGAATTATGCAAGACTTTCATTGACATGCAAAATATGTTTTTAAATCTCATTTTCATTCCATTTCCTTCAAAATCTTGTCCACATATCAAACGGGCATTAAACCATTCTTTACAATCCATCTCAAAAAACCCAAAAAGCCTCCTCTAGACCTGGTTTGGTGGTTCAGTCGCGTTTCGCATGATTAACGACTTTTTTGCACATGGGGAAAAAACGGGTTTCGATCACCCGAAGTGATGATTCGATTTTTTAAAAATCTGAACATCTCAGTCCAAGCAAATTAAGTCATTGTATATTCCATTCTAGTAATAGCACGGCGTGTGATGAAAAAGGGGGGATTTTGATCGACGAGGTTGTCTAGAGTCCTTGGCCCCCAACAAAATAAAACAACAACATCAAAGGTTGCCTCATAAGACATCATTCTTGTATGCCTGTCACATGCTCAAGGGACCATCCGAGAGAGTAAGCAGCAGCTGCAGCTACGATTCCATTGAAGAGAGTGATAGCAACAGAAGAGACATAGTTGTTACTTGCAATCCTTGCCTTTGCTACCCCCAGAAGAGCAAGAACCAGTGCTGTGACAATACAAGATCCCATGAACTTGACAGAATCATTGTTTGTGAATGGAATGAGAACGACGATAGCTAGTAGAGGGGCAGAACCGAACAGCATGAATGAAACAAAGGTGACAAGCCCATTCTTCCATGGCTGAACTTCTCCATCTGCTGGCACCATTTCCTTGTTACTTCCCATTCTCTGCTCCACCAATATGTTCTTGTATTTGGCAAACATGTTCACGGCCTTCCGGAAAAGAAATGGAGTAAGTTGATCGCCAACTATCTTGTTCAAATAAGCACACAACCAGTGATACCATTTCGTAGTACTTAAAAAGACATGTTTCTCTTGTAATTTTGGACAATATCATTGTGTGGTGGGCTATTGTTATTGGGATTATGCAGACATATTCAGCTTCAAATGTCAACTTTCTCCAAATAACTGCAATAAAGGGTAGGTGTTTTTCTCATACATACCATGGTTGCATCATGATTTTCCATCCCAAGAGCTTCATAGTGTCTAATTAGCTCCTTTTGCTCTTCACTTCTGTGGTTCGCGACATCCCATTCAGTTGCTTGCCTTTTTTTGACAAGAACATCTTGCTCGGCCTTGCTTGACAAGAAGTCCCCGAGCCCCATTGATATTGCATCCGCCACAAGGTTTGCAAACCCCAGAACCAGCACATCCACTGTGAATACATTTTTATTTGCAGCACTGAAGTTAGTAAATTCATCAAATTTGCACACGATGGGCTGCAAATTTTGTGCTGTAACTACACAGGAATTAGTTGTACTTCTTGGCATGAGAACCAAGTGCATAAAAATAACTTTTTAAAAAAAATTGGGCTTTCCATCATTGTCCTGCTGAACTTGACTTTTGATACCACTTGTTAGGATCTTGAAAAGTCTTGATTCTATTATTATCTTTCTCTCTCTTTTTTTATTTAAATGATTATTCTTTTGTGCATTGATAGTTAGAAGATTAACATCATTTTGCATCTTGTTTTATTAAAGATAAAAGAATGAAAATTTAATAAATAATGATAAGATATGAAGTGTCCGAATTAGGATGATCTAGACAAAATGTGGATAAACCTTCATTTTAGATGACCGTATAACCAGCGTGGTCCTCACTTACATATAAGACCGGTGGGAACTAATTGGCGAAATGTGTGGTGACTAGTTATCGGGCTTAAACTTGGATTTTTGTAATGAGAAACACGCTGTAGCTTTGTATATGAAGTTGACAAATGACAATGCATGGCATAGATACAGGACAAAAAATTTAATACTACCTCCGTCCTAATTATAAGAGTTAGTTGACTAATTTGAAAAGATTAAAAAAAGAAGTTAAATTAGTTATTTGTAATAAATAGGTGTTGTCTTTTCTAAAATATCTTTACTAATCAAGTGTATTAGTTAGAACTATTATTGTTATTTATAATAAATAGGTGTAAGTTAACCCTTTTCAGATTCCCTCCAAAAAAAAATATTTAACATGAGACCAGGCCAAACCCGTGGAACTCTATCTTTGTCCTTTATATGTCCTAGCTTAAATTAGTCTAATGTGAAAGAACAGAATTAGTTTGTGAGAGAGAAATGGAATTATAAAGATACCTGCAGAGGAGCGACGAGTAGCAGAGATGGAGGAAATGAGAGAGAAGCAAGTGATAATAGCGTCAAGGCCTGCATATACTACGCTTTTTACATATTCTCCTCTCCATGGCTCTTTTGGTCTGCTTCCTCTGCCGCCACCGCCCTCCTCCACCGCGGCCGATAACAGCCTTGCTGTGCCGCCGCTGCTACATTCTACGTCAGCGTCACCCATTATTGTGGGGTTTAAACTGTAACAATTTTTACTGTTACTCGGTCACTTTATAGTTTTTACAGGGTGGTGACACACACACACAGATGTGTGAGGTCAAAGTGAGTGTGTGTCATGTTGCATGCAGATGCACCAACACGTGGCCACTCATGTATTTTTCTGGTTACTTTAGTTGCCACCCTGCTTTATTATTACTGAACGAGTCTGGGCGCCTCCATCACCGAGGTTCATGATTTTTTCCCCCCCAGAAATGTAACTAAAATAGGATGCTGTGCATTTACCCAAATTTTAATAAATTATCTAACACTTCATTAGGCGTCCATCATTTGGCGCTTCTACCGTTTTCGTTTACGAGGAGTTACCTCTAAAAATACTTTTTTTAAAAAATTTTCATATAAGTAAAAATAAATCGCCTGGTACATTGCACTGATTAGATGCTTTCCTTTTTTCTAATTAAAAGAAAAAACTATAGTACTGAACTTTGCATTGTAAGAATGTACCATAAGCCATGTTGGCTTGTATCTCCTCCTTTCCTAATTATAATACACTTTATAAGATTTTAAAACTAATTAAAGTTTTTCCCTACGATGCCGCTAATAAATTGTTAAGATTCACCTGTTCGATAAAGGTATTTAAAGTTGAAAAAATAATGACATTTAATTGAGGATAAAATTAGAAAGGAAAATTTTTAATTTAATAACTATTTTATTGGTGCTTGTAATTAGGTAAATTGTGTCTATGCTTAAGGTGGGGGTATAATCTTACAAAGAGATCCACTGCAATTATTTACCACTACTAATAAAATATATATGTCAAAAAATTATTACAAATTAACAAGCATGCATATGTAATCAAGTTTTACCACCATCAATAGGGTACTTGATTTTCTGAAAAAAGTTTATATAATGATTGGTTGGGAATCCCCAACACTAGTTAATGGGAAAATCCCAAAAAATATCTCTAAAATTTCAAAATCCCAAGACTACAAAAATATACTGTCATTTGTTGTCATTTATTATTAAAATATAGTAAACAAGACTAATTTAAAATTTTAAAATTCAAAAGCATTTTTTTAAAATTCTCCAGTAGTTAATTAATTTATCAAAACACGTTTTTTTGGGTAAATTTCGAAAAATAAATGAAGAATTGAAACAAGCGTATCAATTCAAGATTTCAAGCAAATCCCTAAAGAGGAGATGGAATGTGCTTGTATGTGGAAGAAAAAACTTGATGTGATATCAAAATTTATTTTTCCCCAAATATCGTCCGATTTTTTTGCCACAACAAAACATGTGACAGAATTGATACAGATTATGAAATATGATGCTTCACCGTATCGCAATATGCAGTTAAAACCACCCAAAAAAAAAAAGTGAAGGTGCATATTAAACTCACTCCCTCGATTGTCATTTATCTTCATTTCTTATTTCGCTAAAAAAATAAAAATAAAAATGCATCATTTGGTCCTTGCTGAATAATAAACGGCAATGCATAGAAGTAAAACAGGCATTTAAACTAATGGCCTCCTTTCTTCATCTGTGTGAGTGGTCGTCAACTCTTGATTATTACCAGTAGGAGAAGCGGGCAAGGCCTTGTTGGTGTTGGTAGGCTTATTTTCAGCCAACATCTTCAGTGTGATTCCCATGGCTATAAGCAGTAGTCCAGTCCCATGTTGTTCTGTCAACGGCTTTGTAAATATCAAGTATGACAGCATTAATGTCACTGCCTTTCTTGCAGTTGTTATCTGTCACACACAACATTCAAAATACATAGTGTATTTAGATAAGGTGAAAAGAGGTTAATACGCATAAAAATAGGACGTGGGCCCCATGCAGGATCATATTCTTTTCTGTGATCTTCCTCCAAATGCATGAATGTATATAAAATTAAATTCAATTCAATTACAATCAAATGATACATTTTGCAGGAGAGAATCCAAACAAATATCAGACGCAAAGTCAACAGTCAAATCAGATTCAAATGTATGGTAGGGGAAAAAATGCTGATCATTTAATGCCATTTAAGCCTTATTGGGTAGCATTTCATCCCCCATGTCATTTCCTGAGCCCAAAGAAACATCATAACTTAAAAAAGTCAACTTTCAAAACAAATTCAAACTTACTGTTGTAAAAAAGTTAACGTTGGTCATTTAATACCATTTGAGCCTTATGACATCTTGTATTTTCACAAGGCAACCGCCAAACGACTTGAAGGCCACAAGTGAGACTTGAATGTTTGGTGCGTGAATTCAAACTCAGTGGTCCAAACTGACATAATGGAAGCAGGAGAAGCTTGTGACAGAGAAACTCACCATCGCTGTTGTGGCCGCACCAAAAATGGCAATGAGGGAGAGGACAGAGACTTGGCCAACAAAAGTGGCCATCGCTTCAAACACTAACACGCCATAAACATAGGGATGCTGCAACAAAAAGAAACGCCCATTTTAGAAAGCAATAAGTGAAGAATTGGGTAACTGGGATTGTACTGAGATCTTCTGCATGAATGCACGATATTTTCACTCTTATCTCGCTTTAAATACACTTGCACATTTACTTGAATCATATGTAGCAAATACTAATTGGCAAGCGTTTTTGGTGAATGCACCCCCACATTTACCTGTGAACATGAAGTCCAAGCTTTGAATAACTCTCCAGTTAAAAGCATAGGTGGGATTAGGAAAGGCAAACCCACTACAGTAGAGCAAAAGAGCATCTCCATCTGTGATTTGAGAATAAACAAGTATTAACATGCGGCTAACATGACATGAATGCCTTTTCTTCTCATGAAAAACAAAACGCACATAGGGAATTAAGAAAATAACCTGTGTGGTCTCGGGATTCATTGTGAAGATTGCTTCTTGCAGATTTCCCAGAAAGGAATCCATGACCAAAGCACCGGATATCATTATAACGCCAATGACACTGAAATTGGGTGATGTTTGTGCATCTGCTAAAGTGAATAGAATCAAGCCCGCCACCAAAAGTACTGCTGACACATATTCATGACATGGATACTTCCTTCTCAGACCCGGTATGAAGGCACCCATTATCATCACTGGTAGCACCTAATGCACAAAAACTGAATCTAATTATATTCGAATGTTTCACATTCTGACATTCAATTAGCCTCATGGCCCAAAAAAAAACAAAAACAAAACAACAGGATTTGATTAGCTTCAACTTGACGGCCAGAATATTATCTTAAGCAGGTTGGATAATTTTGACACGATAAGCCCACAAGTAAGAATTTAAACGGGACAATCTGATTCCTAGCAACTAAGGAATAAAATAAAACAGATTATGGTGTTTCATTATGATTAGTCAACAACCAATAGCTTCCAAAGGGTTTTTTGTATTTTACCTTTGTGGATTTGAACATTATCTGTGCAGGGTAGTTCAGGAAAGCCAAAGATCCCTTTGTTAGGCCATGTGAACCCATGAGGACAGCAGAGAGCTTCACATAGGTTTTCCATGGGTTCACCATTTGCTTGCTTGTGAAGCCTTGGAGGTAAATCAGAAACAGATAAACAAATCCTTGAACAAATGTGAAGTACCATCCGTAGCTGGAACAAGAAATCAAATCTCCCACTTCATTATCAATTAACAAGTCCTCAAGAAAAGAGATATATAAAACAGTAACAAGATGAACAAGCTTGCCTGAAATGGAGCCTGTTATACACATACTCCTGAAAATCAGAAAATACAGTCAAGAACTTAATACAGATAGTCATAGAGCAGGGGAGTGTCATAGTTGAAGCATTGCAATTGTTCAATTTTCAGAAAGAACAACAGAAGATGTCAAAATGAAGTCCAACTTCCCAATGGAAAATCCAAAAGCAGAGAAGACAAAAGGCAGAAAAAGATACTTGACCCAAAAGATTTCTGTATAAAGAACCTAATTCCTCAGAAAGCGGTGTTCAGATGCTGAGGAAACAGAGTACAAGCACGCTCGATAAATTTTTAAGTATAAGAAAACAAATATCAAACTTGACCGTATCTTCAGAAAGAAATAAGCTAGAAAAGTCTGAAGTCTAAATTCCGAAGCTGTAGTTTGTTATTTTTAAGAATCAAAGCAAGTTAGGATGATATCTACCTCGCAGATGCCGTTAACAAGGTATCCAAAGAAGAAGCCAGAAGAACAAATGAGAAATTGCTGCCATTTGGGCCTGTCAGAGAGCGAAATACCGAACAGACTGCGAGTTTGCTCGTCGTTCTTCATCACTCGCTCCCGTTGCTTACTTAAAATCACTCCCAAAGCTGCGATGTGTAATAATCAAAACGTTCAAACTTGAAATGTCCTCAAAACAAGAGAAGATGGTGAGTTTGAAGCATTTGCATGTCGATTTTGGTTCCCCCAGTTTCACAAAAAAGGAGAATGGAATTGTTAAACTATGGTACAGCCATGTCCATGTGCGGAATGGAAGAAAGAAGAAAAGCTCAGCACTTATTGGGAATGAAAAGCAGCAAGCTTTTCATGGAAGCACGGATTTTCACGAATGACGAGTGCAAGCAGGGAAGGAGAGAGAGAAGATTTGCAGAGACGCTCCCCCTGAGAGAGAGTTTGCAATTTCGCCAGAAGGAGAAAGGGAGGCCTGCTAGTGCTGGCCGCTGCGTAGAGCGGTTATCTCATGCGCGCTTCGTGCAAGCCTGGGATGCTCCTCTTTATATTTATCTATTTATTTATTCATATATTTATTTATTTTACAAAAAAGGAAAACTAGAGCCAAGTCAGCCGGCTGCACGAGAACATCCCAACACCTAGAAACACCGGCCGTGGATTTTGTCGGTGGTGTCTTGTAATCCACATATGGCAATAAGACGAGATGTTTTAAACGTGAGGTATTTTCCAAATCAATATGTCATTTTCCTGACAACATTTTTTAAATCAATATATTGATATTACAGTATAAAATTAATATCATAAAAAAAATTTTGCAAAAATGCGGAACCAGACTTGGTTAGCTACACGCAGCTAATCTAAGAGGGACATCAGTTTAAAAAAGA